GGCCCAAATCTACACCCCGCACTACTGTTCCGACGAATCACGAGAAGCCGGGAGGATCGACGAGCAACATACAATGCTTTAAGTGTTTCGGCAGAGGCCACAAGGCCAACCAGTGCCCAAACAAGAAGGCCCTGGTGCTACGCAATGGAGAGTACGTGACCGAAGATGAAGCAGAGGAAGATGGCAGCGAAGGGAGTGAGTCTGATCCCGAAGTCGATGAATCAATTGAAGTCGAAGTCCCTCCTACGGGAAAATTTCTCGGAGTAAATCGTCGAGCACTCACTTTGGATTCTCTGGCCAGCGAAGAACAACGAGATAATATTTTCCACACCCGTTGTACAATTGAAGGGAAGTTATTGTCCGTTGTAATTGACGGAGGTAGCTGCACAAACGTCATCAGCCTTGATGCCGTTAAGAAGCTCGGGCTAGCAACGATTAAACACTCCCAACCATACAGCTTGCATTGGTTAAACGAGTACGGGACGTTGAAAGTGAACAAACAAGCGAAAGTTCACTTCAAAATCGGTGAGTACGAGGATGAATTATGGTGCGATGTAGCTCCGATGCAAGCCGCACACCTCTTGTTAGGGCGTCCTTGGCAGTACGATCGTGGGGTCGTTCATGATGGCCGAGGTAATTCATATAGATTCAAGCATCGCGAGCGTAATTTTCTACTCAAACCGTTAACCCCGGCAGAGGTACGAATTGATCAGCAACAAATGATGGCGAGCCGGGGCCGAGACACCGAGGGAAAAGATCAATCTCAAGCTGAGCAGCGTGTTGAAAATGGGCTAACAACGCGGAGGTTCATGCTCACTGCCTTCAGCAAGCGAAATTCTCACCCGCTGCCAGAGCGTCAACGACTCTGTTTTGTGTCGACCGAGCAGAGTAGGAGAGAGGGGCAATGGGCTGGAGCTGCTCGTGCAACGTCGAGTGTTCCCAATGCCGTCGACACCTTCCAGGAGGACCCTAAATTCTTCTCCCATTGCAGGTTCGACGTGAACATACTCCAATTGCACGAATCAATTCGAGTTCATCTACCTCTGAACTCGCAGGAACAAGGCAGCAAAACCGTTGAATGGGGTGGGGCGACTGGGCGTGATTCGACGTCAAAGGGCACTGCAAAACTACTTCGAGATGCCCAAGGTAGCTGTAAGAATGCTCGCATTGGAGCGGGAATACTTGAGATTAAAACCCCCAATTTTGGATTGCATCTTCTGGGAAATGTGATTTTGAAGGTGTGCGTTGGCGGGAATGGTCAAGGCACTGGGTCGCTACGAACGGCGGCGAATCGGGGCCCGATGCCGGTTCAGGAAGTCGATTGGAGGTGTGGCCAACCTCGTGGGAGCACTGAATTGGAATGGCAAGACCTGAATCGAAAAGCCCCAATTCAGCAGCTCAAGAACACTGTTTTCGAACTGCAGAAAAGGGAGTTTGGAATGCCATCTTTTGACCCGATTTGGACTGAGTTTTGTGTAGATTTCGAGAAGAAGAAAGAACCAGCTTTGAGGGCAAAGCTTTTTGAAGAGGGGGAGCCTGATATGAGCTTGAATTGCTTCCATTCCAAGCTCGAATTGTTTGTTCAAGAAGTTAAGCCAACTCATTTGCGCAACCTGAGTTTTTGGCTAAGTGTTATGACGAGTTCGGGTAGCCTACTTTGCGAGCTCGAATCTTCCGATTGGGTTGGTATAAATGAGAGTTCAAGGTGTTGGTTTGAACATGAGAACTTCCTTGTTAATATGGCGTATGTTTCGGGCTTATACAAGGCCATTAAAGCTGTGTTTCAAGGCGTCAAAGTAGCTACCTTAAAACTGGCAAACTGCCAGAATATGGCTAAGTCTGAAGGCAGGTTCAGGAAGGTCACTTTGGAGCTCTATTCCGAGCAGATGGAGTCGATTCAAGGGAGGTTCTTTGCACTACATGAAATTAAGTATTTTTTTCTACAGAGGAAAGGAATTGGATAAGAAGATGGACGCTTGGAGGGATGTGAACGAGGGGCTTAAAGATGCTATGGACCCTGTTTTGGAGGCAGTTTACTTAAGTTAGAAGAAAGAGGATTATAGACGAGTTGGAAGTCCTTTTTAGTTTGGGAATTGTTACCTTAGCTGTAGTATAGTCAATTGTCTTTCCTTGTTCGTTTTGTAGTTGATTTAGGTTTAAGTTTGTCTATTTAAAGGCCTAGAACTCCATTGTAATAGTTAGACGTTAATCAATTAAGAACTTGTTCATTGAGTTTTTAACTCGTGGATTGTCCTTGTTGCTTGGTTCAAATCGCCAACAACGAGCGAGCCTTGTATCGATTGAGTCATCACCTCAATCGTGGTCGGGTTGCTACCTTGAATTCGGTTGAGCCTCTTCCCCGCGCGTGGTGTTGAAGTTGCACTCCGAACCATCCTTCTATTCCCCTGTTACTCTGTTTTCTGGCTTAGAAATCTGATTTCCAGGCTGTGTTTAACAAGCTTCTCGGTTCCTTTTTAGTTTGGGAATTGTTACCTTAGCTGTAGTATAGTTAATTGTCTTTCCTTGTTCGTTTTGTAGTTGATTTAGGTTTAAGTTTGTCTATTTAAAGGCCTAGAACTCCATTGTAATAGTTAGACGGTAATCAATTAAGAACTTGTTCATTGAGTTTTTAACTCGTGGATTGTCCTTGTTGCTTGGTTCAAATCGCCAACAACGAGCGAGCCTTGTATCGATTGAGTCATCACCTCAATCGTGGTCGGGTTGCTACCTTGAATTCGGTTGAGCCTCTTCCCCGCGCGTGGTGTTGAAGTTGCACTCCGAACCATCCTTCTATTCCCCTGTTACTCTGTTTTCTGGCTTAGAAATCTGATTTCCAGGCTGTGTTTAACAAGCTTCTCGGTTCCTTTTTAGTTTGGGAATTGTTACCTTAGCTGTAGTATAGTTAATTGTCTTTCCTTGTTCGTTTTGTAGTTGATTTAGGTTTAAGTTTGTCTATTTAAAGGCCTAGAACTCCATTGTAATAGTTAGACGTTAATCAATTAAGAACTTGTTCATTGAGTTTTTAACTCGTGGATTGTCCTTGTTGCTTGGTTCAAATCGCCAACAACGAGCGAGCCTTGTATCGATTGAGTCATCACCTCAATCGTGGTCGGGTTGCTACCTTGAATTCTATTGAGCCTCTTCCCCGCGCGTGGTGTTGAAGTTGCACTCCGAACCATCCTTCTATTCCCCTGTTACTCTGTTTTCTGGCTTAGAAATCTGATTTCCAGGCTGTGTTTAACAAGCTTCTCGGTTCCTTTTTAGTTTGGGAATTGTTACCTTAGCTGTAGTATAGTTAATTGTCTTTCCTTGTTCGTTTTGTAGTTGATTTAGGTTTAAGTTTGTCTATTTAAAGGCCTAGAACTCCATTGTAATAGTTAGACGTTAATCAATTAAGAACTTGTTCATTGAGTTTTTAACTCGTGGATTGTCCTTGTTGCTTGGTTCAAATCGCCAACAACGAGCGAGCCTTGTATCGATTGAGTCATCACCTCAATCGTGGTCGGGTTGCTACCTTGAATTCGGTTGAGCCTCTTCCCCGCGCGTGGTGTTGAAGTTGCACTCCGAACCATCCTTCTATTCCCCTGTTACTCTGTTTTCTGGCTTAGAAATCTGATTTCCAGGCTGTGTTTAACAAGCTTCTCGGTTTGGGGCTTATCATGGGGGGACTGTGTGATGGATAAATTCACAGTTAAGAAAGTTTGGGAGACTATTAGAGACAAACAGGAGGCTGTGTAGTGGTTTACTTTGGTTTGGAAATCGTTTGGGACACCGAGGGATAAGTTACTTGTCTGGCTGATCATCTTTAACAAGATTTCTACTCTAGATAAAGTGCAGAGATGGAACAATACAGTGGTCAATCTTTGTTCATTATGCTCTTCCACAGCTGAGTCCAGGGATCACCTCTTCTTTGCATGTTCCTATTCTCAGCATGTGTTGCAGGCTATTTTTGCAGGCAGGAATGTGATGGGGGCAGACTGGGAGGCTTCTTTGGCCACTGCCATATCGTTAACCAGGCTGAACTGTGCCTCCTCTGATCGTGATAGACTGCTATGGGTGATGGTGGTAGCTGAGCTTTGGAGAGAACGTTACAAACGAGTTATGTCTGGTGAAGCTTTATCTGAAATTCAGATTTTGAAGAAGCTGCAGGGGTTGTTACGCTTACTCAGGAATGGGGTCTCTCAAGTAGGGATTGCTATTTCAGAAGATTATGTGAATAGTTTAGTGTAGAAGGAAGTCTTTTGGGTTTACTTTTTCTTTCTTGGTAGCTATTCTGTTAGTAGTTTTGATCTTTGTATTGCCTGTTTTGAATTCTGTAATTGAGGTACATGAGTCCCAGTTGGGGGGATTGTTTTAGATCCCTCCTTCTTGATGAATAAAGCTGCTTATTCATAAAAAAAAAAAAAAAAAAATCAGAAACGGGCAGCACACGATGCGTACAGAAAAGACGAAGACCCACTAATACAGCTTTACACACTTGCTAAAGTATTTTGTATACTGAGAACGAGAGACTCAGACTACTAACTTAACTCGTAAGGAACGAACTATCCCGGGCCGGAGCCCCATTGCCCCAATCCCCACTCCCCACTCCAGTAGTACCCAAACCCGACAGCTCAAATTTAAATTAAGAAATAAATAAAAAACTGTAAAGCAGAAGAAAAAAAAAAGAAAAAAAAAAAGAGATGACAGTAATGGAGCAACTAGCCGGATCTGGAGGAGAGAAAACTCGGCTACTTACTAATTGCACTTGCATCCCCACCCCCATCTTCCTGGTCAAGATTTCTACGAGTTGTTTGTTGTACAGAAGAACAGAGCAAGTGGTGGAAAGGAGAAAGATCTGAGATCTCGTTAGTTTATCATTGAAACAATGCCCAATTACCCCACCACCTCCCAGTGTCCTATATAATATATATAAATCCAACCAACAATCTAATTTTAACATCGAAGGCTAAGACGGACGCCCGGCCAGGCGGCGAAGCGCATAGCTCCACGATTCCTACTACTTCAACGCAAAAAGACATTTCATTTATCATTATTATTACTGTTATTACAAGGAAGGAAGAAGGGAGGGCGGGGCCATTACATTAGATTAGAGCCGGCTGTAACTGCAACTTCGCTGCTACAATTACAGAGCGTCGCGAGCCCAGATTCATGGATTGTGACAAAACCACTCTCTTGCTACAACCCGTGACTCTCCAGCAAGGTCAAGCGCCAATACTACTAAAAGAAATGGCAGACCCAATTATGCAATTATTATTACTTGGAAAGGAAAGGAGATGACATACCACCTTGCAATAATGAACAAAATCCATGCGCACTCCCTTCTTCCTTAACAAATCAACCATCGTCACTTATTGTTAGTGTTACGATTACCATTCCCCTAATTTCCAATCCCCAAAAGGAAACCCCCTCTTACTTTTCTCCTATGCTTTGTCTACTGCACTTTTACTTCTTTTTCTTTTTCCTTCTTAACTAGTACACTTCCCTCTAATCACACATTCACACCCTCGTCATACTAACGCTATCAGATACTTGCTTTCCTTTCGATGTCCCAAAACTTGCCCTCACCCACCAAGGAACTAGCTCAATAAGTCCATTCCTGAGGCAATCGGACCTCCATTTCCATTCCTGCTTGTGCCCTGCTGCTCAAGCTCCGTGTCTGATTCCACCCACCACCACTACTGGGATGATTGTTCCTTAAGGTCGTTGCATCTGCAACCCCATTACCCCAATAACAACGGAATTAGTAATGTTGGATCATTACTTACAACCGCTTTTTAACAAGATTCCAAAATAACCAGCAAAGTACTAGAACGTAATGCTAACCCTTATCAAAGCCCAAACGAGGCTGATACGGTTGCTGGACACCAACTTCGTCCAAGTTCAGATTCAAGGCCTGCACCACTCTCGCAGGAAGTAGAACCGTCGTGGAACAAGCTGCTTGCTCCCCAATACGAAACCAAATCAATTAAACCAAACATACTAGTAATTAATAGGACTCAAGAGAAAGATCACAATCATTATTAGAAAAGTAGGGATTTTGATATTTACTTGGCTTCTTCCGGGGACGAGGCAAGAACACACCAGTACCCGCGCATTCATTTTTCCCGCCAGGATTAACCGCCCGCAAACCAGAAGCACCGCCTACTTGCTGCTGTTGTGGCTGCTGCAAAGAAGGCCAGGCGGAGGCAGATAAACCTAGAGGCTTCCCGTTATTATTACTCCTTCCCCTGTTCTGTTGCTGCGCCAGTGGTTGTTGGTATACTCCAATCCCAACCGCCTTGTCATTCTGCGGTGCCGCCCAAATTGCAGACTTGTGTTGCTTCATCATTTGCTGCTGCCTCAGCTGCTGAAACTGTTATTCAAGAGGAAACAAACAAAACCAAGCCGCAATTAATAAACAAGGCAGAGTTGCGTGAAGAGCTGAAATTAATGACAACAAGCAAGTAGGCTAGAGCGAGCCCGGCTTACTTGAGATGCCTGCAACTGCTGGTAAGACAGCGACTGGTGCGGATAAAACCCAACATCAGCATTAGTGTTGGACGTTTTCACCGGGACAGTGACCGGCGACGGTGGTGTTGCGGGTGGTCCTCCCAATAGTCCCCTGCTCTGGTCGTTAAAAGCAACGTCGCAACCGCCACCTGCTCCTCCTCCGCCGTTGATTTTCATCTTCGCTACTTCGCCGCCGGCGGCGTAGAGTAGAGAGACTTTGACTGGCCGGTTCAGACTTAATTTGCACCCACAACCGTTTCCAGCCCCACAGAGCGTGGATTGAGGGGATCCGGACAAAACCCGGCCCTGTTGTAGAAACCGCCGAATATAATTATTATTAGTGTTAAAATTGGTAAAGAAAGAAAAATCTCAAATCACCAGTAGCAATGGAAAAGTGAATAGAAGAATCAGTCCCGCCAAAGAGACAAATAAAGCTCGAAAACGACTACCGAACAGTACCTTGGCGTTTCCGGCGCCGAACAACCAGTCGCTTCTGGCGAAATCGTCTTCCAGGGTCGTCTGAGCCATTTGTCGGGTCAACCCAGCGAGATGGTCCTCTTCGTCGCTCTCCGTTTCGGTTGAGCCGACCACCGACTCAACAGGGGAACTGAGATCCGAAGACACGCCGAAGGAGCCAAACCCGTAAGGGAAGTCGAAGTTGAAGAGGGACTTGGCAGCCAAGGCGTTATCCAGAGCAAGGACGTCTTGCCCGCCCTTCTTGCCCATCTGGTGCGGTTTCTTCTCCAAGAAGATGTCGTCGTCGGTTAGGAACTTTGGGGGCAACCAGAACTCAGCGTCGTCTACACAGTCCGCCATATTTAAAGCCGAAAGAGGGGAGGAGAATGAGCGAAGTGGGGAGTGAGGGTATTGATCTTTGCTGGCGAAACGAAGGCTCGTGCACAGTAGCAATTTATTGATCTTTCTTGCAATTGCAACCCACTCTCTCAGAAGCTTTTCGACAAACAGAGAGTGTGCAATTAGGGCTGTCAGTTCGGTTGCCGGTTAGCGGCTAACCGGCTGGTCTAACCGGTAACCGCCGGTTAGCGGCTAACCGGAAACCGAAAAAAATGGGTGGCAGTCGGTTGTCGGATGAGTTCAGTGGTTAGGCGGTTAGCCGAAAAATCGAGGCCGGTTAACCGGCTAACCGACGCTAAACGACCCCGTTTTGGCCTAAATAAAACCACCCACCTCTCCCTAAACCCTAGCAGTTATGAGCAGCCCCCATCCTCTGATCCTCCCCCATCCTCCCTCCTTCTCCCCCATCCTCCCTCCTCTGACCTCTCGTTCCTCCATCTTCCCTCCTCCTCCCCCATCCTCCCTCCGACGACGACTCCGGCCGCCCTCCCCTGCCTCCTCCGATACCCCTCCTTCCACCGCCACCACAACTTGCCGCCCTGCCTCCGTCGGCGCCCTCCCCTGCCTCCGTCGCCGCGCGCCTCGCCGCCTCGCCGCGCTCCTCTCCGCGCCCCGCCCGCCTCGCCGCGCGCCGCCCGCCTCGCCGGCCAGTGGATTTTGAGAGATGGGAACAGAGATATATATATGTGTGGGGGGAAGACGAAGGGAGGAGAGGAACACTTTCGCTCTCAAATGGGGAAATCCCCTCTACAATTTTTTTTTGGATCTTGATCTTGAGAGCTTGCGCCCTTCTAACCGTGACCTCTCTTCGGTCGGTGGTCGGCAGCTATAGGGGGTGTCTCGGTTTAACCGAAAACAGAAAATTCGGTTTTCGGTTAAACTGAAACCGACCGGTTGCCAGCCCTATGTGCAATGGAAAAATAAAATCAAAAGCAGAGCAAGGTGTGTGCCGTGTGCGTGGTGGATTAACCCGCAGACTAGAGGTAGAGGCGACCGAAGTGGAGGACCAGGGAGGTAGGGTATTTGTAGAGGCAGAAAAGCAAAAGGGAAAGAGAGAGAAAGGGAGGTTGAGGTGGGACCCAATGATTCAAGTTAGAGGCGCGAGGGAAGGAGTGAAGGAAGGTGGTGGACCACACGCGCCGGAATGGATGGGGAAGGCAGGAACGGAACCACAGCAAGGGAGTGGTGAGCCGCAGTAGAGGAGAGAGAGCGAAGGATAAAAGGAATGTGAGTGGAATGGAGGGAGGGGAGAGAATGGGAATGTGAACAAAAACGCACGTGACCCAACTGGGTACAATAGGCAAGAAGAAATAACGCAAGCAAGCAGCAGTATTTTCCATTTTTCAGCTTCCTCAAAAATTTTGGATAAAATAATTTGATTGGATTAATCTACACAATATATAATAGCAAGAAAGGGAAAATTGTTGCTCCATTTCAAATTTTCCTGCAACAACGAGAAGGACATTCTGGTCTTCACAATTACTTTTTTTTATTCATTAAAAAGACATGTACTGGAATTCGAACCATGAACACTTTAAAGAAGAGCAAGGACATAACCAATCACACTAAGTACATTTGTTATATCTTTTTAAATTAAAAACATATAATAGTAGGAAAGAAAAAAAAATCATTCCTCCATTTCAAATTCCATGCTCTAAGAGCGTTTCTATGAAGGGTAGAATAGGGAGTGTCAATGTTTTTTTATTTCCTCTGTGGAATGGGCCAACTTACCGTACCCATGCGGATTTAAACGCGTCCTAGAGTGTCAATTGTTTTCTTTAAGCCCTTTTATTTCTCTGCGACGGTAAAATATATATATGAAAAGGCAAAAACAATACTCTTTTTTATTGCTCAAAAGAAAAAATTTAACAATAAACTAATACATGGATTCTAATGGGCTAACCACAACCATAAAATAAAAGAGTTGAATGGCCCTGACCTATAGGGGATTTGACCATCAAGTAAAACAAATGAACATCATAGGTTTGTCATTCTAAAACAAGCTATTTTCTCTAGCATAATATATATTATGCTATTATTTTATATCTTAGTGGCTAAAATATAATGTATTTTAAAGTTATTCAATGGTTCAACCTCGACCAATCCAATTAGTCCAATTTATTTATCATTTCAAATATATATTATGTAATTATTTGATATCATAATGATTAAATTATAGTGTATTTTTTAGGGAATCATTTGGTATTTGTTAGTAAAAAACTAAATAGAAAGATTTATTTGGTTATTTTTAACATTAAAACGATCCTGAACATTTTCAGTTTCCTTTCGAATTTCTATGGTTTTATTCCCGAATCAGTGATGTGCAAATGGCGAATTGCACTCATCTCTTTTCTTTCACTATTTTTTATTTTCAAATAGAAAGTTTAAAAGTAAAGAATAATTAGAGTTTGGCATGGGTCGGTGAAACATGTTGAATTTCAAGTTTTTAACCATTTTGATAAAGTCTAATTTATAATCACATGGTTCCCTGATACCTGATAAAAATCTCAATCCAAACCAGTTTGGCAGGTGAGTTCGTTCTGACCACCATTTTCTAGGGATACAGGAACGACGGTTCCTATCCCAAATCGTGTTGTTCATTCTTGATTTTTTTAGATTCTAACATGGCCTGGAAAAAACCAGAAAGCACAATGACGACAAGATGAAAGTTTTATAAACCAAATAAATCGGCCAACGGGGCGAGTAAAAGCTATCAACGATTGTGAGATGCTCATTTCCTGAAAACCGGCTGGATAGGGGATTTTTTATTCGATTTTCTAGAATTCGGTTTTTATAAAACTTACTCCACCTTATCATATTACTAGAAATAATATTGTTTCACAAGCTAACAGGTACTTGATTTTGGTTCATAATGCTGATTTTTTATTCGTTGCATCATTCATGTCTCTTTCCTGCTAAAATTCACTATTTTTATTACGTGTTTCCCATTGTTCAAGAAGACGCGCCTTGGCGCGTTTGCTGGGCATGGAGGAAATGTGATAGACTATTTGATTATTTGGGTTTATTTTCGGATTGGATTATTTTGTTCGGGTTTATTTTGGGTTATTGGGGGAATACTTTGGGGGGATTAATAAGTTGGGGTAGTTAGTAGGTAATTGTGTTTTGGTATTTAGACTATTGTTTTACGTAGAAAAGGCAATCATAGATTAAACCTAAAAACTACTCTCTCTCTTCCCTCTGGCCGCCAAGCCCTCCCCTCTCCCTCTCAAAGCTGCTGATCGGCAGCCCCTATTCTCCCTCCCTTCTTCTTGCTTCAAACCTCCGAAATCTCCCTCCTCCAATTCCCCAAATTCCCGGATCAATCCCTAATTGATCCCAAGCCCCAAATCCCTCGATAGAGCTCAAACCGGAGCTCTATCAAAATGTGGAGAAGAGAGCTGGACGACTGAACTGGACGTACAAAACGTGGAATCGAGAGGGAAAATGCCTGGGCGGCGATTAGGCGCTTGGAAACGCCGTTCCCATCAGTTGGGCGAGCCCAAAACAAGTAAATAGGGGGGAAGTTCTACATTTTTTTGAATACCCGTAACCCTAATCTGCCCTTTTATTTCATTCGACATATCTAGCAAAAAGGAGAGACCAACAGCCTCGACGAGCAACCACCGCCGTCCTCCATGCGAGCGACCAGCGCCGCCGTCCTCGCCGTCGGACTCACCATCGATCAGCGTCGTCGGACTCGCCATCGACCAGCGCCTCTCACCTTAGTCCTCGCCGTTTTTCCTCGCCATCTCTCGCCGGTCATCATCACAAAGCACAACAGGTCAGCTGTCAAGTGAGAATGGTTTGGGATAAATTGATTCAATTGATTTTATAGGCTGAATCTGGAAAAATTGATGTGGGTTGACATTGTTTGTTTTGTGATGGGTAGTCGATTGATGGTAGGGATGAGATTTAGGGAATCCAATGGAATTTAGTGTTGTTTGGTGGTGGTAGTAAAGATGCAGAGGGTGATTTGGGAAGAAGCAGGAGAAGGTTATGAGAGAAAGAAGAACAATGAAGTCAAGGGAAAGGGGATAGTCGGCGGGTGAAGGTTAGGAAATTTTTTTATTGAGTTTAACTCAGTTTGCATTTTGCACGAATGAATGATGCACTAAACTTAAATATCTACCATATTTCTTTTCGACGTTTAATCTCGCCTAGGCGACGATTAATCGGCCTGGGCGCTGGGCGGTGCCTCCTCACCTAGATGGGGCCTAGCGTCTTCTTGAACATTGGTGTTTCCCAAAAAAAATACTATACAACAGTAAGCTATACACCTCATTAGCTTATCAAATTTCATACCTCACCTTTCTCCGGCCAACTGGTCGGAGCCATGCTAGTAATTCAATACTGCCGTTGGAGAATTGTATCAAATGAACAATCTTCTGGTCAAGGGTTCCAACAACAATCCGGATTTTTTCCAATAATAGCATCTTTTAAAAAAAATTACAAACTAGCACCCAGCCGAAAATATTTACAAAAATAGCACCTTTTAAATCAAACCGCACCTCCAAGGTGCGTTTTATAAATAAACCGCAGCTGGACGGTGCGTTTTAACTATAAATCGCACCTTAGAGGTGCGGTCCAATCCACGCCAGCAAACGCACCGCATCATCCGAGTGCGGTTTGTGTTTTCTGGGCAGCGGGTTTGGAGACCATCGGATGGTGCTGCGATCCAAGGGCGGACCGCACGCCACCTCAGCAATCCGCGTAGTGGAGCCTCAGACCGCAGTTGCGAAATGCGGTCAGCGCCTCGGGAAAGCAGACCGCATCGTAAGGGAGCGGTTTCGCTAGGGGTAAAATTACCAGACCGCCCCTGAAGGGTGCGGTCTGAAAACTATAAATACCCCCCCTCCCCCCTTATTTCTTCACACCACAACCCATTATTCCCTTTCTCTCTCGAATTATCTCTCTAAACCCTCCCCTCCCAAAAGCCTAGGAAATAGTGGTCTGTTGGTTGCGGCTATGTCCGATCTGCCATCAGAAAAGATTTCTTTGGTTTTTTCCTCAAAACCCGCCGAGCCGAGCCCAACCTCTGTCCGAATTTTGGTTTTTTCCTCAAAACCCGCCGAGCCGAGCCGAATCTCTGTCCGAATTTCCCGAAAAAAATGAGCGAGTGGTGG